GTACCGGGAACCGAACTCACGACCTTGCGCATGCCAGGCAGGCGCTTTTGCCGCTGAGCTAAATCCCCAGCCCCCATTTCCTTGTTTTTAAATGAGTAGCAATCTAGACAAATTCAGTGTTTTCTGGTGACCCAGATGTGTTTTATAATTTTACTGCCTACTTTGATGCTAATCAAATTCCATTTATTATATTTGCTGTATTTATATGCACACCATTCTTTTGTTTTGGGAGGTCTAAGGAGAAAAATAAACATACATGCATAATGTAAGATTATGCTTCCATTGTACTTATTGAAAGTATGCCATGAAAATAGCATGAAAAGATAGACAAAAATGTGCTCTTCCTCCAGTGGAGTTTTAGTACTCAAGTGCCTCATAATAGTATCAGCATCTTCCTACTTATGAGTGTATTTCTATGACTAGAGATACATATATTTTATAGTACATGATCCTTAATATATATCAGTTCTGGTCCTACTAATTCTGGCTCCCTTATTAAGAAATAACAGATATCTTTTACTATTGGAGGAGAGGTAAATTTATTGTTTTACATTGTATTGAAATACATGGTTTACCTTCATCATGTCCCTTTTCTAAAGGCAATATGTATTTAGGTCTCCTGCCTAACATATACCTTAGTTCATGAACTGTATGCCTTGACTTCTCTGGTAGACATATAATTGCTTATATCCTTTGATAATTTTTTTCAATTTTATTTGTGGAAAATGGCAATACTTAGCAACCATTATTACCATGGGTCGTCTCTTTTGCTTTCTGATTGTAGGTAACACATTTCCTTGAGGCATTTTGTCACTATAAATTCTCTTGTTTTCCCTTCCCCATATTTACACCGTTATTTTTTTTTACAGGTTTCTGTTTTAGAATTGTTACAGAAAGATGATGTGTATACATATATAGGTGCAGGGGTTGTGGTTATAGTTGGAGAATATTGATGTCCTAAACCTCTAAGAAGCAGAGATTATTTCTCTCATATTAATTTTCTTGCATCTTTGAGAACTTTGCAAATGTTTTTTGTTCCTTTTCCCTTTAAGATTTATTTTATGTAAATGTATCACCAGTTTGAAGCTATAGGTAAAGAAAATATTGTAAAGTATATTTAAATAAAATATATCTCTTGAAGTATTTTTATCTTCAAATTGAACATATAAAATAATTTCCAGTTTTGTGTGATGTATATCAGAGGATTAATTCACACAGGAATCTGGAAAACTATCTCAGATGTGTGGTTTTCTCTGACCCTTGCTGCCACTGTTACTATCACACATACAGTAGATCTCTCACCTACCAGTTTTACCCCAGGTTGTTTGGAAATTCTAGTTTTCCCTTGTGTTGTTCTTCTGACTTTCTTGTCTCGTCATCTTCAGCTTGGATTAGAGGAATCAAAGGAATCCCAGCCTAGGACTCTGAGGTTATAAAGTAGCACTGGCAGTGATGCTTTAAAGGGCCTTTGGTTTGCAAACTTAATCTACCTTTTGGGATTCATTTTAGCATATTTAAAGTTCTATATAATACAAAATGAAGGATTGACTTACCTTGTGTACAAAACTGGTAACTGTAGTTGGCATCAGTACCTACCAATTCTTGGAACTGAAGTGTTAACTAAATTTCAATAAGAAGGTGGTACCGTGACTATATATCCAGAGCTTTTATTACTATCAAGCTATAAAAGTAAATTGATAAGTATTTGCCTTTGAAAGTCATAGTTCTATCAATACTTTCTAGGTGTATGTGATAAATATTAAATATTTTATATATTATTTCTTTTAATAAGTTTTCCTGCAGTAAAAAATAATAGATGAAAAATAGGAAGCCGATCTATAGCCTTAGATGAACACAATTATTTAACTGAGATGATCTCTATTCATGCTTCCATTTATTGCTTGGTTTGCACAGGAAAGAACTGCAGGAGCTGCAGAATCTTTACAAACAGAACAGCGCACACACAGCACAGCAAGCAGAGCTGATCCAGCAGCTCCAGGTTCTCAATATGGAATCACAGAAAGTACTGAAAAATCAGGAGGATGTTTACGTGGCTGAAAGTAAATCGTATCAAAAAGTATGCATTTATTTTGTCATAAAATTAGAGGTTTGTATGTATAAACTTAGGAAAATATGTAGAAATCAAATTTGTAGAATTTTAGCGTTGCTTTATTATTCCCTTTTACACAGTGTTCCTTCTAAGTTAACAGTGAAGTCGTCTTCATTTTGTAATATTTAACTTCTTGTGAGTTTTCATTATAGTTATCAGAATTGGATCATTTAAAATGTAGACAGATATTTGTGTCATAGCTTATTGTTCTTAGAAACTGGAGTTTTATATGTGCTATGAAACATTATTGGGTGTAACCCTAGAACTAGGAATGATTTGGGGAGTAGGACTACTCACCTTTAATGTGAGAAAATATTTGGTCAAGTATGATTCTAGTTTAAGACCTAAGGCAGACTTTCATTATAAAAATTGTACATTATTTTATTGACAAATCACAAACACAAAGGGAAATGCTAATGAGGTCTTTAGGATCAATCAATATTTTACAAGGATTTTTCTCTATTTTGAGGGGGTATTTTGTTTCTGTAGTCATTTTACTTTAGGAAGCTCTCAAGAAGGCTTATCCAAATATTTAATTATGCTAGCTGAATCAGCAAAAATAATTATAGCTTATAATTAAAAAATACCTTTTTGAGCTCTGTATTTTTTTTGTATACTGTTCTAATTCATTTCTGTAATTTAGTTTATATAGACTAACACTATGAGAGTGACCAGATTCCCATTTAAGAAGTAAGGTTGGTGAGGGTCTAACTAGTAAAATAAATTTTGACTTTTTCTTTTAATGCTCTCTTCTAAAATTGTACCAGGAAAATCTAATATCTGCAATTAAAACACAAGGAATAACTTCATTAAGTATAAGCATGTGTTTTAAATAATACTTTGGAATAGTGGTTTCAGGTATATGCTGTGTTCCCTTCATGTTTCCCAAAGGATAGAATGATGCCAAGCAGGAAGATAGAGTTTACCCTCTCTACCTCAGAGTAGCTCCACCTTTTGTTTTGGATTTCACATTAGTGTGCTAAACCAGCCTCCACTGCTGAAATGCTTTGAAGATTTGCACTTTGTTAGTAATTTTAATTGTTGCTGTTGTTGACTATCTGTTGAAATACTTTTTCCTTTTCTGGCTTCTAGTACACTTCAGTTTTGTGATTTTCTTTCTTCAGTTTCTAGCTATTCCTGTTAGTTTCTTTGCAGTTCTTCCTAGTCCTTGTGCCTTTTTAGTGTTAACACATCCCCGACTGTTTTGACTCACATCCTAGGTGATTCTATCCAATAATCTATGCCTCACTTGTGCTCTCAAAGTCAAACCATCTGCATGCTGAGAACTTTGCAATTTGTTTATCCACCCTGAATCTCTTTCCTGAATTTAAAGGTTATATCTGATTGCTTTCTTGTTACCAGTCCAGACTGGGGAAGTTTACTTGAGATTTGGGCAGCCTGAAGAAGAGAGGCGAGCTGTGGACTGGGTTAAACTTCTTTTGTTCAGCTGCTTATCCATTGTCCATTTGTTTAGCTGCTCTTGGGGTCTCCCGCCACTGTACACTTACAGCAGTCCTCAGGCCCCTGGCCAGCCCATTCTCACAGTAGTCCCCAGCTGCTTGGTTGCCCCCACCCTCCTGTTTATACCAAAACACACAGTAGTGGCCATGTGGCAGTAACAACCTTGGTTATGTAAGTTATTCACACCGGCCAGTGCCAGTGTTGGCTGCAGACGTTATTTACATTGGAGTATTGGGAAATGGACCTGCACTGGAGTTAACACAGAACCCACTACTTCCCAGATCCCTTTCACTTCAGGCACCTAACATGGTCAAAACTAAGCTATTGTCTGCTGCCTTCAAACTATTTTCATAATTGTATTTCCTACTACCCCTACTGTCATCATGCCACAAACATATATTACCTGATTACAGTAGTTCGTCACTTTGTTTCTTTGGTCTCATTTTCTGCCTTTTCACGCACTATCAACATGGAACAAAGATTTTCTGGCTAAAGTTTATTGCATCAAGTCAGACACTGTTTTCTTCAAATCCCTTTATGGACTTCCTAGCCCGTTAAAAAAGTAAAAGCCTAAATTCTTTCTAGCACCCGTGCAAGTTAACTGGCTGTGCATTACCTATCTGATCTCACTTCCATTTTTCTTCCCCTTATTTTCTCCTTTTCAACCATATTAACTTTGTTTTTATTCCTTGAACATACCAAGTATTCTTCAGCCTCAAGGTCTTTGCACTTGCTTCCAGGGCCTGAAAGGTGCTCCCCTAGGTTTTGGTGTAGATACCATTCTGCTCCCTTTATTTATCACCTCTTACAGCCTAAATTTAATTGATGGTAGACATTAATGCTAAGGATGAATGTCATAATAGTGAACTAGGGGGAAGGGTGAGAACATAGCTGGGATCTTTTCCTATTATAAGGATAAAGAAGGATCTCCTTTGAGCATGGTGGCACAGGTCGGTAATTCCATTACTCCTGAAGGCTGAGACAGGTGGATCGCAAGTTTGAGCCCAGTCTAGGCAACTTAGTGATGTAAAGAGACTCTGTCTTAAAATTTTTTTTAAAAATGGCTGGTCATGTAGCTCAGTGTGAAGGCCATGGGTTCAATCCCCATTACCACAGAAAATAGAGGAGGGGGTTTCTCCTTGATGAAGTAATATTGGTGATATGTTAAAGACAGCAGACAGCAGCTTGGTTTTAAACATTGAGTGTGAAATACCTGCTGAACATTCAGGTAATATTGGTGGTGTTTCTTCCACAAGTATAAGACAAGTGAGACAAGTTATAAGAAATGATGTATTGTGCTTATGTTAGTATTGAGGCTGAAGAAGAGCAAAGAAAGAACAAACAGATCTGGTGCTTGATTTTTTTCTATGTTTAATCTTTTTTTCTTGGTCTTTTTTTTTCAAGATTGAATTCCATTTTCCTTTTATGTATTTTTGAAACATACATCTGCAGGAAAGAGGAAATTGATATTTCACTTGACTGTCATTCTGAAATTGTCATTTTTGGCCGGGTGTGGTGGTGCACCCCTGTAATCTAGCACTTGGGAGGCTTAGGCAGGAGGATTGTTGCAAGTTCAAGGCCAGCATGGGCTACAAATTGAGTTCAAGACCAGTCTGAACTGCATATCAAGACCCTGCCTCAAAAAGACAAAAAAAAAAATAAAAACTAAAAAATGAAATTGTAATATCCATTGTAGTATTTTAATTTTGAAGTTGGTTTAGATCATGACAGGTAGACATAGGATTTTCTTTTTTTCTTTTATTTTTAACTTTTTAATTTTTTTATTTTAAAAATAAAAGGAGGAAAACATTAACAGACAGACAACATTTTACAAAATAGCAAAAGAACAGTACAGACAATACAAAGTTACAAACAAAGTGGTAGGAAATTAACAATGCTTGTTGTATTACATATTGATATCTTCAAAGTGGCTTCTCATGAATACAGATAGAGGCATGCAATATTGATTAATCAAGGACTCACTGAGTTTCTTTCTGCAAAGAAACAGAAGACAGTAGAACAACATTGTTAACTATCCTGTATATACATACATACAAAATTTCTCCTTCTTTCCCTTTTCTTTTCCCACATCCCGGTTGCCCTTTACCTTTGAGTGTTTTCCTATCATTTCACAATGTCTATCATACCTCCGAGTTTAAATGAACTCTTTCAGGTTTTACACTAGTGAAACAATGCGGTGCTTGCACATGTATGTCTGATTTATTTCACTGATGAATATGGTCTCTAGTTGTAACCATTTACCTATAAAAGCCTCGAGTTTATCTTTCTTTATAGCTGAGTAATATTCTGTTCTATAAAAGTACCACAATTTTCTTATCCAATCCTCGGTGGATGGACATTTTGTGTTGCTTCCACAATTTAGCAGTTACGAATTGTGCTGCTATGAACATAGGTGCACATATATCGCTATGATATGATGTTTTTAGATCTTCTGGGAAAATACCTAGCAGGAAGATAGCTGGGTTGAATGGGTCCTCTAGACCTAGTTTTCTGAGGAATCTCCAAACTGATTTCCACAGTGGTTTCACCAGTCTGCATTCCCACCAGCAGTGGAGAAGGGTTCCTATTTCTCCACAGCCTCACCAGCATTTGGTTGATTTCTTAATGCTAGCCATTCTTACTGGGGTAAGGTGGAATCTCAGTGTTGTTTTAATTTGCATTTCTCGAATGACTAATGACATTGAACATTTTCTCATATATTTGTTTGCCATTTGTATCTCCTTATCTGAGAAGTGTGTATTCATCTCAGCTGCCCATTTTTGGATTGGGTCTTTGAATTTGGGGGGGGGGCTGATACTTTTTAATTCTTTATATGTTCTAGATAGAAGCCCTTTGTCTAAGGGACAATCAGCTAAATTTTTTTCCAAGTTTGTGGGTTTTCTTTTTACTCTGCTGGTGATTTCTTTAGATGTGCAGAAACTTTTCAGTAGGATGAGATCCCTGTTGTTGATTCTTTCAAGTGTTTCCCATGCAATTTGGATTTTGTTGATGAACTCTCTGCCTATCCCTATGTCTTCAAGGTTTTTACCTACTTTCTCTTCCAATAGATTTAGTGTTTCTGGTTTAATATTGAGATCTGTGAACCATTTTGACTTGAGTTGGGTGCATAGTGATAGGCTTGGGTCTGTTTTCAGTCTTTGGCAGGTAGCAAGCCAGTTTTTCCAGCACCATTTATTAAAGAGGCTATTGTTCTTCCAGTGAGTTTGTTTGGCCCCTTTATCAAAGATTAGGTGGTTGAGTGTGTTTTTGGATTTTCATTAGTATCATCTGCTAAGCTCAGTTGAAAGTGGGCTTTCTTGATGATTTATTTATGTTTGCCTGCAGTTAGTCAACATTATAGTTGTTTTCTTTGGTGTCTATTTATAAATAGTTATCCATAAAAACAAAGAAAAACATCTTTTATAGGTCTGTCCCAAGGCAAATATTGTTAACATTTTGAGTATTTCCTTGAAGAATTTGAAATACATTTTAACATACCTTTGAGCACAGTAATAATGTGTTTCATTTCAACATTGTAGGAAATAAAACCATGGCATATAATTATTTTAGAAATAGTAATATAATTTGTTTAACCATTTTTACTGTACTGTTTATTTTTTACTATTGTAAATAAAGCTTCAATAAATATGCCTTAGTTAATAGTTCAGATTCTTACTACTCATGAGTACACATTGAACACACACACACATTCTAAAATCCACTTACCTTATCCAGGGAAGAGAAGTTGATAACATCATATCAATGGTGTGTAATTCACTCTTAGCTTGTAAGTGTAAGTGAATATTTTTAAAATTATTAAATAGAAGTACAGGGGATTGTGGAGTTTGAAGGGAACCTGCCTACCACATGATCAGTACATGCAGAATTACTAAATTTTAAAGAGCTGCATACCACGATAACCTCTTTGGATAATGCAGTTTAGAAATCATACATGCTTACTTGAATTGTAGGAGTATCTTAAAACTTTACAAGGATATTTCTTTATTAATTAAACTGTTGTACTGATCCACTTATTTTTTATTTTTTAATGGTGAGTGAATGGTTTTGCAGGGTGTAAAACTATGGAGAAGTTAAGATACACATGTACTACAATTTGGATCTAAAGTATCCCCATAATATTACATGATAAAGGCTCAGATGCCAGCCTGTGGCTCTTTTGGGAGGTGGGGAACCTTTAGGAGCTAGGGGCCCAGAGGAGGAAGTTAGGTCATTAACAGCATTCTCTTGAGGGAGCTCTTGGAACTCAGCCCCTTTCTGCTTTGTTTTCTTTTATTTGCTTTCTGACATCTATGAAATAAAAATTTTCTTCCTTCACACACTTTTGTCATGACGTATGCCTTGCCACAGGTCCGAAGCAGCATGTCAACTGACACAGAGCTGGGACTCGGAAACCGTGAGCCAAAATACTTACTTCATGCTTAAGTATCAGTCTCAATGAATTCCCAATGAACTACTCCTGTTTTTAGTTTTTCCTTCTAAATCTGTAAGTTCAGTTCATCATACCTTATCGCTGCTTCATGTCCTTTCCTAGCACAATACATAATTTCTTCAAATTTCTGCTCCCTTTAAAATGACTGTTTTCTGTCCATTGCAATAAAATTGTCATGGCTGAGTTGAAAGATACTTCCTTTCCGTGAAGCCCATTGAGATTAATGTAGCTAGTTTTCTTGGGTGTTTTGTCACAGTGGCATGAAAAAGAAAAAACCTAGCAAAAAATGGGTACAAAGAAGTGGAATTGTGTCTCTATCCAATGATGTGGTTCAGAAGCCTTTGGAATTGCTTATTACACTATTCAGAGTCTTTAATAACTTTCTGTTGTTTATAGAACGAGTCCAGCTTCCTGGCCTTGAAGAGTCCTTGCATTCTGTCTATAATTTTGTTTTGCTTTGTCTCTTACTATTCCTTTTGCCTCACTTCAGAAATCTATACTACTAAATGAGAATATATGTCAGTCTTCATGAATTCCCAATGAAATATTCCTTTTTTCTTTCTAAATGAATAAATTAAGTTCAGTTAGGCTGACACACTTTATCGCTCCTTCATGTTCTTTCTTAACACAATGCATAATTTTTTCACATTTTTACTCTCTTTAGAATGAATGACTGTTTCCTGTCCATTCCAATAAAACTGTCATGCCTCAATTCATGACTTCTTTTCTTCATGAAGCCCGTTGAGATTAATGTAGCTAATTTAAAATATTTTCATGTTTTTTAGAAATGTAGTACTCTTTTTCTGTATTATACTGGCGAGTGATACATATTACCTTTTTCACACAAGTTGGTCTTTATGTTGGTATTTGGCTCTCCCATTTAGTTTTCCTTCTATTTGTATCTTGTTTTTCTCTTAGGCTATAAAAATAATAGGAGGATAAGTACACTGTTATATACAGTTCATGTGTGTGTGTGTGTGTGTGTGTGTGTGTGCATGTGCATGCATGCATGATACACATCACTAGTTTATTGATTATTAATGTAATCTGGATTTTTTGAAATAGCTTTACCATGAGTTACATATATGCTTTGAAACCACAAAGTCAAATGAAGCTGTGCTGCAACAAAGTGTTGCTAATCTTCAAGATCAGCTACTTCAAAAAGAACAAGAAAATGCAAAATTAAAAGAAAAACTTCAGAATTTGCAAGGAACACCCTATCCTTTACCTCAAGAAGATGATTCAGACCACTCAGCCCAGGTGAGAGACATTTTCTAAATATTTCTTACCTCCCACAATTGATTTAAAATTGAATCAGATTCATATACCAGTATACAAATTATGACTGTTTGTATTTTGCTGCTTTTAACACTCTTTGTAGACATGAACCTTGTCTGTAATGTAGATTCGTACAGAAATTCATGTACAAATACAGAGTACATCAAGCATAGTGACCCTCTGTATCTGCAGGTTTTGCTTTTGTAAATTCAGTCAACTACAGATCAAATATATTTGATAAGAGAATCACACTTATACTGAATATATTCAAATTTTTTATGATTAGTCCCTAAACAATGTGATATAACAGCTATTTATATAGCGCTCACATTTTATTAGGTATTCTAAATAGCCAAGACATGATTTGAAATGTATAGGATGATATGAATATATTATATACAAATACCGTGCTATTTTATATATGGGACCTGAGCATCTACAGATACTGATATATTGCAGAGAGTTCAGGAAAGAATCCTCTGTGGATATTTACGGACAACTATATGGTAGTGTGATGAATTATTTTGTTATTGAAGAGAAAATTAATGTCATGGTATTTTTAAGACTTGTTACTGAAGGATGTAATGGAAAGAATATCTAACATTATATCTCATAAAATACTTAACCATAATGCTTGGTATGTGATACTTATTTCCTGGTCCTGTTTGTCTTAATTCTACATTGATATTTAAGTATGGCCAGGTCATTTGACCTTTCTTTTTCCCATGGTAAGTAAACTTACTTGAATAAATTTCCCTCCTTTTCTACCTGAACATTTCTCCTACATAAAAATGTTGATATGAATGGAATCTGTCATAGAATTTTGTGAAGATTGTTCACATAGTACAAATAAGGACAGGTCTTGGTATCTTGAAAATGTTCAGTGGTTCCTCTTACAGTGTTCAAGGTAACTTTCATGTGAAATACATTTTTATGATATTTGATTTCTGTGAATTTATGTTTTTAACATCCTTTCAGCAGTTCTTGAAATTTTATAAATTTAATTCATAATTGGAATTAACCCACACAAGTAATTGATTGATTACTTATTTCCCAATAGTAATGTCTGAACTGAGAACATTTTCACTTGTGAAAAACTTCATGCTAAGGCAACAGTTTTTAAATTTGCATTATATTATATTGCATATTTTGACAAGAGGTGCACTGAACTGGATTAATCATAACATTTACATCATGACACACTATTTTGTTATATGCATAGTCTTGTTTAATTTACTTTGCTATTAAACTAAACATCTTTGTTTCAACATCTCATCCAAAAAGTAGGACATTACTTATTACTTACATTCTCCTTTTTTCTACCTTAATTCTTTCAAAAGAGGTAATCACTAAACTATTACAATATTGATGTTTTTAAAAGTTTTATCAGTACATATTTATGCAGTCATAGTATACTATTTCATTATGTGTAACTTACTGCTGTATATGTATTGTTGCATATAGTTTGACAATTTTGATGCCTGTGTTGGATATAGTGCTTTTAAAATATTAGCCATATCATAATTACTTGTTCATGCATCTATTTGACTACTTTGGTTATTTCTAGTCTTTTGATTGTTAATAATGTCAATATTGACTTTATTTTTAGTGCAGGGGTTCAAACCAGGGACCTTGAATATGGTTAAAAAAGTGCTATCTCCCTGCCCCAACTGCTATTTTTGTACATATATGATTCTTGGTGCACATTTGTATGCAGTTTTGTGAGTTATATATCTAACAGTGAAAACTATGGGTTTTAGAGTATAACATTTTTATTCTTACCAAATATTGATAGTTTATTTTACTGTTTTACTACTTTCTCTCCTATCAACAATGTATAAAGATCTGGTTGAGTCACATCCTCTTGAACACTTGTTATTTGTCATACTTCTTAATTTGTTGCCTTCTGAATTAGTATAAAATAAAATTTTATTTTGCCTTTAAGTGCATATCTCTGATTGAGTTGTATCTTCAAATGACTAGTTATCAGTATGTGACCTACGCTGTGAAATATATTTGACATCTTTTGTCCATTCTTCTATTGGATTTTTTCGTATTGATTTACAAAATTTTTTATATGTTTTTGATAGTGATCCCTTGCAAGTTAAATGTATAACAGATATCTCAGTGTGGACTATGTCGTTTTCTTTTGTTATCATTTAATATAAAAGAATTCTTATTTTCACTTTGACAAATTAGTCATTGTAGGTAGTACTTTGGCATCTCATTTAGGAAATCCATTCTTACCCCAAGTCAGAACCTTTACCTTCTTCAAAATGTTCTAAAGCTTTGCTTTTGTTATTCATGGTCACAAATCATTCAGAATTATTTCTCTTTCATGGTATAATGCAGTGATGATGAACCTATGGCACTTGTGCCACACAGCAGGCTGTTTGTATCATTGAAAGTTCTAAAAGGTTTTCTTTACTGGTGTAAAGATCCATTTTTATTTTCTTATTTCCTGAAATAGTAATTAGAATACTAGCTTTACTTAATGTGCTAGGATATTATATAAAATTTCATTAAAACATTGATGAAATTTTTCATAAACATTTATTTAAGTGTATCATAATAATGTATACAGACTTGAAGTGTATAACTCAGTAACACTTTTCAAAGTGCACATAATCATACAAATACCACTCAGGCCAAGATAGAGAATATTGCCAGTATCCAGGGAGCTTCCATAATGTGCCTAATTGTTAACTGGTGCCATATATGTGACTACTGTTTTGAATTCTGTAGCTATTAATAGTTTTGCTTGATTTGAAGCTGAGTTTCTATAAATATACATTTAGGAAGTTGCCATCTGCTATGGTTTTAATGTTTGTGTTCCTTCCAAAATTCATTTTGAAATATGAATCCCCAATGCAGTAGTATTAAGAGCTGGGGCCTTTGGGAGGTAGTTGGACTGTGAGGGCTCTACTTCCCTGGCTGGAATGAGTACCTGATAGAAGGTATACAGGAAGCGAGCTAGGCACTTTTCTGCCTTTGCCTCTTTGTTGCCATATGAGGACACTGTGTTCATCCCTTAGAAATATTGTGATTAATTTTTATTTGAACTTTTAAATATTTAGATGTCTCATTTAATTTTGATCTATGTCTGTCTTTTTCCTACTGTGTATCTTTTTTGTCATTATTGACTTCTGATGTACTTGCATGATAGTCAGAGATGGTACTCTGTAGGATTATTTTGAAATCTATTGAGATTTGTGTGGCCAGGCATATGGCTTGGGTGAACACAATTTGGTGAACATATTTTATGTAATTGTAGGTAATTTGTTCATTGAAACTATTGGGTCAAGAACTCCTAAAATATCACTGAACTCCTACCATCTTGTCTAGTGAAACTCTGTATTATCTCGAATGTATTATTGAAGAAGTATTTTCTTATTCTCTTTAATGGTTTGAGCAATCTTTCATCCTTACATCTGATAATCTGAGCAATGTAGTTGAAGATAGCGATATGCAATGTAACAACCAGTGTTGATTTGTATTAATTTGTCTTGAGGCCCTGTGTCACTTTGAATGATCTTGCTTCGATTTGTTTATGTTTGTGATACTGGTATGCTGCTACTGTTCTATTTTTTTATTTCTCATGTACTACTCTCTTTAAAATTAAAAAAAATAAAGGTAAAGGTAAAGAACTCCTAAAATATCAATATTAACTACTGATATCAATATTAATTATTAAAATATTCATGTTTTTATGCAAAGGAAATGTTAAAATCTCTTGAGATGTTAAAGTCTCTGAATATGACTGTAGATTGTTTCTCTTAATTCTCTCGATTTTTGCCTCGTGTATTTTAAAGCTGTTTCATTAGGTTCATACATATTTATGATTTTATGTCTTTCTAATTAAGTATTAAAACCTTTGTCAGTATAAAATATCTTTTAGCTGTAGTACTTTGACTCAAATATACTTTCATGATTTTGATGTAACCACTCCTTTCCTTTAATGGTTATATTTTATAGAGTAAATCTTTCCTATCCTGTATATTTCAGCCTATAGTCATATATACACTTAATATATTTACTCAGGTCCTGTTTTTCTTATAATTCATTCTGAAAAATTTTTGCTTTTCATTGCAATGTTAGTTCACTTAAAATGCAATATAATTATTAATATGGTTGGATTTTGGTGTACTACTTTATTATTTGTTTTCTCTTTATTCTGTATTTTGTTCCTGTCTCTTATTTTCTTTTAGGTTAATTGACTTTTTTTAAAAAAGCAATTTAAAACTGTCATTTTTCTTTGTTCTGGGTTCTATGGTTTCTGGAAAGTCATAAGTTGGCAGGAATTTCCTTCTTTGTTTACCTAAGTGTAATATGTCAGTTCTTTCTCTCTTCTTTTTCCTTTTTCTTCTTATAGTACTAGTGATTGAACACTGAGCCGTATCTTCAGCCCATTAAGTTTTTTTTTGAGATAGTCTTTCTGAATCAGTAAGCTGCCCAGGCTAGGTCTGAACTTGTGATCTTCCTGACTCAGTCTCCCAATGTGATGAGATTATCATTCCCCAGCTAGCTTTCTCTTTTTTTTTTTTTTTCTTGAAGATTTTAGTTTTAACTTTCAAGTATTTTACATCTGATGTTTCAGGTTTGACTTTTATTCATCATTCTTGAGCTGAGATTAATGGTTTTTGGCTGAGGTCATTGAATTTTGAAGTACTTTTGGCTGAATTGGAAAGGCTGGCCTTGAACTAGAAATTCTCCTGCCTCAGCCCCTTGAGTGCTGGGATTACAGGTGTGCATCACCATATCTGGCTTAAACTAGTACCTTTTTAAAAAAACTGCATGTATTATGCATCAGATTACTCATACTGTTAACCTTATTACTCTGCATTTCAAGGATTATGGTAATATGTCAGCTATAAAAAACATAGGCTTTTTGGGTTATAATTTATATGTTTATATAGTTTAGCCATATTTTTTCCAAAAATAAAGTAGAGCATTTCCTCTTTTGTCTCCCATTGCTTAATAAA